CGATGAGTCTACAAAAAGAAGCGGAAGACTGGGTAAAGTATCTGGCAAAAAACAACAAATTTCACCACAGTACCAATAATCCTGGGAATTTGTACTTGTCGGTTTACAGACCCAAGGAGTATTGCAGTGACGCTGTTCAGTGGTTCCACTGGGAGGAGAAGTTTTATAATTATAGCAATCCTAAATACTACAAGGCAGCTGGACATTTCACACAGGTGATTCAAGAGTTGGGGACAAATTGAATCAAAAAAGCCGTAATGTTGCCAGTTCTTAATCCCTTAGTGACCCAGTTCGCTCGGTAGTTCACTTAGATATTTGTTTTCTGACGATAAAAGCTTCATAAACGTCGTACCCTGAAGACTTTGAGTGGTCGAGGAAAACTTTTTGAATAACTTAAATTACATTTTTTTTTTCTGTGCAATCCTTCTTTAGAACCTCTTGTTTTATCCAATAGAAAACTAGCTCCATATAATTTGTAGTGGTGGCACGAGTGTCTAGGCTGAAAAGTAAGAAAAAAAGTCAGTTTTTTTTTTGTAAGACAGCCGGCGGATTGACAGAAAGCTCCCTTCTGCTCGTTTTACAAAAAAATTGTTAAATTCAGATGAAATTATGATAATAGCAAAAAGGAATTTGCACTATTCGGTTTACTCTTTGTCTGTATAGGGATACAACAGTATTGTTGACAGCACACCTGAGAACTGTTGTTTGGTTATCATAGTCAATAAGTGTGGCCAGGAGTCCATAATTACGGGCTCCTGGTATGGCACATTATTTATGCTTTATATCATGTTCGTCACATCTCAGGTAATTTGGATGAACTCGAAAGAAATCGGTGCTGCTTGGGCCATTCGAAATGACAGTAGACTTGTTATATCGATCAAGTATAGAACAGGTGGTAATGTCGTTGGCTACTTTCGTAAAAATGTCAAACCACCAACCGCCGCTCTTCTACCCAACTGGCCGTATGCTCCTCCCAGATTTTCCAGATGTCCGATCAGAACTACTACCATCCCACCGACTACTACACCCATCCCTACTAAGCCTGATACAGGAGGTAAAATATAAAGAATAGTCTCCATTTAGTGCAAAATTATGCAAGGATATATGTCTGGGGACATTATCTGTTCCGAGATGCGAAAACTGTGAGTTTCGAGGAACAGGTAATGTCCAAGGACAAATATACGCGCATATTTTCGCGCAAACTTGAGACTATTACGTTCATTATCCTTCAAATATTTTGCAACGCGCGTTACAAAATTTTTACAAAAAGCTTCCTGTTTCCTCTGTGGGATGTTTTCTTTTGAGCGTTCTCTGGTATGACTTTGGAACAAACAAAAATTTCCCTTCTTTTGTAGCAACCACTAAACGCTCTATCATTTTGAGTTAAACTCTAAACGAAGACTTATTGATTGGGTGATATCTTCGGATATCCGCTAGTTCTGGCTGTGAGATATTCGGTCACGTGATGCGTTTAAACCAATCGTGCGCGAGAAATAATATATGATGGATCATAAATAATTATTATTCATAGCACGAGTATAACAGGCGCAGTTATGTTTCTTTACATAAGTAGGATTATTCTGAAACTAAGGGGAGTCAATTTTGTAGAAAGTGGCTCCTTTCCCGTCTAATCAATCCCACAGTTCATTTCCACTGACTTTTCACCTCATTAAGTGTTCATGACAGTCGATCCCTTGATGCCTTACGCTCCATTTACGCATGCGATGTTCTTTTCTTTTTTGACTCAGTTAACGCAACACGCATTCATTTCAGTATAGGAAATGTGGCTGTCTCTTTACAGAAGCGTGCACAATTAACTTCATGTTAAAGGAGACCTCAGAGTGACTTTCGAGTGGTGAACCCGTCTGATCATTATGTTCTCTTCTATTCCAGGTACATGGCCATTCAGAGATCAGTGCCTTTACTGGCACAATTACTTCCGGACCCTTCATGAGGTAAATAGACGTTTTGTTAAAGCGAATTTTCCAGGAAGAACGCAGTTAATAACATAAGGACTAAAAACAATAAGAAACACGTTTGATCACTGTTATGTTGTAGTTTTACCGTACCTACAAAACGACACCAATTCGAAGTTATTTACTGTAATCCACTCAGAAGAAATAGCGCATTATATTTATCTTAACGGCATAAATATAGTAAGATAGATTTTGTTAACACCCGACTACAACGGGTTCTTAAATTTTGCCAATTTGTGTTTCAAATGTCTAAGGTTCCTTTCGTCACTTGGTCGCTGAGCCTTAAAAAAGAGGCGGAAAACTGGGTTAAGTATCTAGCAGACAACAACAAGCTTGAATTCAAGAATAATTCTGGGAACTTGTACTTGTCAACGGAAAAACCAAGAGAGTACTGTAGTCAAGCTATATGGTGGTTCCATGGCCAAGAGAGATATTACGATTACAAAAATCCTCGTTACATCAAAGCAGCACGAAACTTTACGCAGGTGAGTCAAAAATAAAAAAGTTCAGTGGGCTTTGAATTGCATTTTTGTGATCCACACGTCTCCCTTTCCATGAAAAATAACCTTACTCTATAGAATATCGATAGTAAGTAGTTCAGCAGTCCACATTGTGTGTCGTAAAATTGTTTATAGCCTAAATAGTGCACTCCTAACTCTTCTTTATCTGAATTTTAGCTTATTTGGAAAAGCACGAAACAAATTGGCGCCGCCTGGAAAATCCGTAAGGACGGAAAGCTTATTGTGGCCGTCATGTACGACTCCGAAGGTGGGAACGACAAAGGTAATTTTGAAGGCAACGTTTTCCCTCCCTTTGCGGAAACTTTGGGTCCAGATTGGTTGCGGACTCCTCCTGAATCTTCGAGGTGTCCAAGAGAAAACATTGTGACACGTCCCACTAATGAGTCCATCATTTCAACAAGACCTCATGTGAGAGCAGCAGCGGAAAGACCTTGCATTAGCTTGGACCTCTTCATTACATTTGTCATACTTGCAACCTATTTCTGGTAAACGGAAACTAATTCATTTGAATATTTGAAACGTTTACTGATTGCCCTTTGAGACTTCAGTGTCTTCCAAGCACGAATCGCACTCTATCGTACGATACGGTTCTCCAAGTTTTGTGGTAGAGCAGTTCGTTTTTCGTAGAAGAGTACAAGCAGATTCAATATGCTGATTCCTGACTTGGAAATAGCGAGCTTTCTATTGTAAATATTAGATAATTTCCGATGAATATTTAGTTAACACTAAGTTATTTATTGAAAATTACACTGCATGTGAGAAGGACGAATGCGAGTAATAATATTGATGATGATTAGCCTCGGTGCAGGCATCTCCCATTTTCCCCTATCATAAATGATTTCGTAAAGTAATTTTTACAACGTTATAATTAAAGCTATTAATATTTATCTGCGTTACACTACTCGATATACGGTAAAAAGGATTAATTTACCAGAGCTATAGTAAGGTTTCGTAACGAAACACTTTTGCATGAATCTGTATTAACGGATGACATAAGGACAATTATAAAAACTGGTCGGGGAGGTGGGGGTTTGTCCGTCCATTATTCCTTAAAATGAATTTCAATTAATCCATGAGAAGAGCAAAATTATCAAAAAATCACAGTTTCGGAATACCACCGGTGGTTAACCCTTCAACTCTTAAGATTTAATTGTTAATTCTCCCCTGTAGCTGCTCCACATTTCCTTGTAAATTAGTCACGAGAATTTGGTGTTAAATCAAGATCACAACTATTACCTGAAAAGTTTAAATATTCTCATTACATGTGTACTGGATAATGTATGGATACTATTGGGAGAAGTTACATGTTAATCACCTCTGGAAGTTAAAGGGTTGACGAAGTAACACGTTTTCAGTCAAAGCACAATCAGGTATGTTTTTCTTCAGCCGAATGTACATAAATATATAACGACTGTCGGATGATGGGAGGATGATATCGAAAAACTAATATATGTACAAGTATGAAGTAATGCACAGAAATGATATGATAACGAACATTGATGATTACTTCAACCTACTTTGTAAATTATGTTAAAAACTCAAGCAATGAAATTAAAACTGTTTAAGTGTCTAAACTATGACGTGTGTGGGACTATGATTCTTACAACCACTCCATATATGCCTCTTTTGCACAGACAGCTGAGAACGTTTGTTTAGTCTCAAAGAGTATGTACCCCTCTTTGTCTACTACGTGCACTGTGTGCATGTCATGTTTGGATGTGGAACAAACTGGGATAGCTGCTTTCCCTTCTCCTTCTTCTACTTTTCTACTAACTTCTTTCTAGATACCGATGTCTAAAAGTGTTGTAGAATATCGTAAGCGTGCAAGAAACTATAGCGTATCAGACTCAGTTGTTGAAATTTTGTGGAGGGTGTCCCGCTACAATTACCCAGTTCCCTGACTTCATTATAGACCTCAACAAGTCAAGTCACACATCGGTTATCGGTCTTAACGCCTCACTACTACCCACTTACAGTGCTGTAGTTGTCTCAAGACTCCGTGTTTAGCCCAAATGCATTCTCCGACTTTGTAAACTGCTGAGTTTTTGTCACGTGGCCATCTTCCTCCCCTTTGCATTTTGATGTAGAGAAATATGCATCACTACAACTTTTTCAAGGTACTTAGCACCTTTGCTTATGAAGGAGGGAGCAGTGAAGTTATCTCAAAGAACTAATACCATTTGATTACAGAGCAAGCAGAACTTGCTGCATCGTGTACTTTGCTACATTTTTTTACATTATAATCAACTGGATATGACTACGCTGGAAAAAATGTGGGCGTGATTATAATCAATGGTCGCATCAGTTTCTAAAAGTCAAAAGCTCAGCAAGTACTTTTGACAACAACTCAGTGTCAACATTGAAACAAATTGACAAAACATAATTAAAGCAACTTTAACAAAAGCTTTCGAAAACGGGCGTGTGTAAACTAACAAATCAGTTATAAGATTTTGAGTTACTCAGTTTCCACACGTCTCGAATATAACTTACTGAGAACAGAGATAGGAACATAGATTTCTGCGCAGGGTAATAACTACATATAATGGTAACGTCGAGTAGTGGTTTTGGTTTTCTTTGTAGTCTGGTGATATCTTCGTCAGTGTTTACGAATGTAGGTGAGTAATACAACACATTCACATCATGCAGATCAGTTCACAGGATTACATTTTATTAAAGTAGCTTGGCGACACCGTTGAGAGGTCTCCAGGAATGTGTCAATAATGCGAGGAACAGAACAGTTGACTGTATTAAGTCAGCATTAAGGCTAGAAATCTAATTGTAAAAGTATACTAGCCTGTAGCTATATTATTTAAGGTTTTTTTTTTTAAATATGCATTTTTTTTTCATCTTAATTAGTGGGACATTCGTAGCATGGTGCGTCAGCGCTTTTGTTTGTCTCCTTTTCCAAAATGTTTCTTTAATGTAGTGATAAATTTAATTCAGTTTAGTGTCTTTTTTTGTAATCTAGTGGAGTGAATCTAATATAAATAAAATACTCTGGATTGATTTAGTTCTCAGGTATCTATAGTGTCGGCTTGGATATAAAAACTAACTGAACAAAATATTTGCATCACTGTTTTCGATCCATCGAAGATTATTTCGTAATTTGCATTTTTATCATTACTAGTTTGACTCAACACAAAGAAAGTAATCTTAAAAAGAGTAAACAAGCTCAGATTATGTCCCATAAGTTGACTTTCTAATCAAATGTTTTGACATGTAATCAACTCTTACTTTCGCACAGGCAAATAACTCCAAAATATTGCCTAAATTGTCCTTTTTTCAAGAACATTTAGAAGCTTCATGAGAGGATGCGAGAGACATTTATGTTCTTTCTTCAATTTGATGAATTTAGTTACATCCAAACACCAGAATTGATAAAGGATCACATTCCTCAGTTGCCAAAGGAAGTTAGAGAGACTCATTTAGAAAATATTTTGACTGGTTTGACACCGTACCTTCTTTAAGAGGACGCGCGTGCCACACTTTATTTTATTTTTTTGTTTTTTTTTTCTTGAATCAATCAGTTAGTGTCTCGATCAATGACAATCTTTTTTGTTCATCCAATTTATACACAGGCTCTTTAAACTGCAGACAACAGTCGTTGTTATGGCATAATTACTACAGAGGAATTCACCAGGTTAGTGCGGCTATTCAGAGGTAGGGTTTCTGTATTAGACATGGTTTGAAGCTACTCTGGTTTATGTATTTAATGAATGTAACCGAAGAAGTTACAATTCATAGACCCAACGTTTCGACACTCCTGTCTAGTGCCTTCATCAGGGGTGATCTAAACGCTGCAACAAGAGGTCCTTTTATACGATCACTAATTAGCTGCCTTTTTTCTGATTATTTGCCAATTACCATCACCAATTAGTGATTGTATAAAAGTGGGGAACAAATGTTCCACTACCAATCTTTTACATGGTCCTAACATCAGTATAAATTTTCTCCGGCTGTACTGTTCACTTTACGTTTTCTTAAGGTGTTGAAAAAGAAAATTTGTTCAACAATCAAGAGTTTTTTCAATTGCCTTCATTTCCTTTATTCTTGTGACCTAAGAATGATTAGTTACTATTTTCTCTTATCAGCATCACCCCTAAAACAAACATCGAGGTCATGAGAATAAAGGAAATGATCACAAACTAAGGAATCTCTTGATTGTTAAACAAATTCTCTTTGTCAGCACTATAGGAAATGCATAGAGAACAGTATGGAGAGAATGTATACTGATGTTAGGGTGTAAAAGGGTTAATGCGTGATTGGGGGGTGATATTGTGAGGAGAAATTAGATGCTGGTCACTCTTGGGGGTTAAAGGGTTGGAGGCTAGGCTACCTCCACCTAATCTCAATCGTTGGCTTTACTGACGCATTTCTGATTTTTTCCCGTTAGGTTCCTAATGTCTCGTGGTCATGGGGTTTAAGGAAAAAGGCTAAAGACTGGGCGGATTATTTAGCTGAAGAAAATTTATTCATTCACGAAAAAAAGGATCCAGGAAATCTTTACTTGTCTCCAGGAAAACCTGCCGAGCCCTGTGCCGCTGCGGTGAAAGCATTTTACACTGAGGAGAAATTGTACGATTACAGGAAACCGGAGCAGTTTAAGGGCGCTGGACACTTCACTCAGGTAAAATAAACCATTCATGCAAGAGTTTTTTAGGCGGTTTCCCCTCAATTGTGGCTCTACGATACATATCTCACGGCTGGAAGTAATACAGTATTGTTTTTCTCCTCTTTCTTAGGTTGTTTGGAAAAATACAAAGTACATTGGCGCTTTCTACAAAACTAGACGTGATGGCAAAACGGTCGTGGTTGTAAAATATTCTCCCGGTGGTAACGTACGAGGTTACTTTGCTAAGAATGTCTTCCCTCCAAGAAAACCAGTAATTGTGACAAGCACTAAGCCATTTACTACCGTGACAACAGACAATCCCACATCAGCTGGTAACACAACATATAGAAATCTCACCACACTGGAATCTAAACGAGGAGTTATAGCCGGTGCTACAAATCTCAGAAAATGGATAGGGATGCACTTCGCATTTGAGTGCTTTTTTGGGGGGTTTCTGATTTCCTTGGTAGATATCTAAGGGTGAATATGACAACGGATAATGATAGAAAGAAGGAGGTGTGTTAGGCCCTAGGGGTAATGGTATACTACGAAAATGATTATCTGAGCACTGAATTGTTAAATAAATCTTAAAATATTCCATTCCTGGTCCAAAGACGTAAAATTATAAACCATAAATAGTACAATAGTATACTAAACACGTTTGGCCAACACTGAAGATTAGTAGAGGAAGCATAATGATCAAGATAGCATAAAACAGAATTTGTGCGAGTTTTTCAGCAAATATATATATATATATATATATATATATTTTCTAATGTAACTTTCACAGGTAAAAATCTTCGATATAACTTTTCAGTAGACACTAGTACATAATCCATTTGTTTGAGTTAGGTATCAAAATAAAAACAGTGATTTTTTTTTAACTTTAATTAAATTGTCGCTACATGGTCTGTGTTGTCAGCGAAGATATCATTCGGTTTGATTTGCTTTGTGGTATCGTTGTGGTTTTCCAGGATTTCGGCCATTGTCTATATCGTACACCGCCTCTATTCTTGCAACTGTACAATCTAATCGTTTTAAAACGTGTTCTTGTTCTTGAAAACGATCGATTCGGTTGCGCTCGTCGACTATCAATGCATTCGATCTGGTCAATTCCTCCAGGTTTGAAGTAAGCAAAGAAAGAGAACGTCTTATCTCTGAATGAGAGCGCTTGAGCATGTCTAAATCATCCAAAACTGAATCGAACTCACTTCGTTCCAGTTTACCAAACTTCTTTCCTCCGAAGCGTTTACTCACAATGTTATGAATTTCAGATACTTTCTCATCCTGTCTCCGGCTCTGTTCTTCTTCTTCCGAGAAAACTGCAATATAATCATTTTCTTCGGGACTGTAGTTCTCTCTTATATATTCTCTGTAGCGCTTAAGCTTATTCTCTGAAGTGTCTAACTCCAGATCTTGAAGAAGTCGAGCCCGCTGTATGGCAGCTGTCGCGCGTGCGTTGTCATAAACCCGTTGGAAAGTGTTGGACAAAAGTGCGATGTATAGATTCATCAGAACAATGGCGGATATAATTATAAAAGAACCACAAAGAACGCGTGCCATATAGGGGGCAGCCTTCTCTAGCTGAGCGAAATTATAGTCATCTAACAAAGGCATGCGGAGCATGGTGAAAATTAAACTTGTTGTGTCGTTATATCCTTTGACGGGGGTTTGTGAATTCTGACCGTACATAATCCAGAAGGCGGCCCCATATGGAATATAAATCATCATTATCACGAGCAACCATTTGGCACTGTCCTTGACAATGTGGTCAAGCATCACAACAAACGGCCCCTGGTTGGGAAATGGACGGGCGTATTTGAGCAAACGAACCCACACGGGGATCACACTGCAAGACAAGATACGAATGAAGACATCATGGTAGAGATTGTTCTCGACAAAGACACTGCTCATGTGTAGAATGGTAACGACTACAAGCATGGCATAGGTAATAATGTCTACAAAATTCCAAGCGTCTGAGAAATAATTGTTCCCCTTATCCTGCTTGATTCTTTTAAGTTCTTGCTCTACAAAGTTTCTTTCCTGAGGCCACCTGGGATGACAGAATGCAAAGTCGCGCTCCACCTCCTTTCTTCTCCACTTCATCAATTTCTTAGATTGCTTCTTGGATCGGTAGTATTCCTTCCCTTCCTTTCTGATTTCATTAAGCGTTATGGCAAGAAAAACTATCGCGATCACTATCTTCCACCAATTCTTACTCAGAGGAATGTAAAAGTTGTCCACATTTTGGGGTACTGAACACGCCAATATTGTGTATAGTATAGCCATCAACACGTTTGGTAGAATATCTAACCAAGCTTCGGCTCGAAAATATCTCCATTTTACATCGATGAGGCGTTGAAAGATGGGATGCATTATAAGTTCAAGACAGTTCGATTGCGAAACAGCTTGTAAGGGGGAGGGGGCGAAGGCATTGCACCCCTTGGGGGAGTGGCAACTTTCCAGGAAATTCAAATAAAAATGTTGCTTTCGATGAATTCTGTCGACTGAGTGGAACTGGTCTAGAGCTTTGTAAGCCTGTAAGTAATACGCAAGATAAATTTTTTTCAGTGGGAGTTTGCTTTGCACCCTGCCAACAATGTCCAGGGAAATCCTTGATTTTTTTTTTTTTTTTTCGAATTCAATACAGAACGAATTTGAAGGACTCATCGTTTGATACGAGTTCTTGGGCGTCTGCAGCATGGATTGAGTCGCATGGATGAAATTGCTGAGAGCCATTTTGGTACTGTAGAATATCATTTAATAGTAAAGCACACAACTTACCACAACAGGCATCTGAGAAATAAGTAGCGAAAGGGCTGACAATCCACTATCGTCCTTGACGCCGGCCGAGGCTCCCTCATCCAGAAGCGTCCGCGTTGCCTCGGCACTATTGTATTCAGCAGCAACCTACAGACAAGACAACAATTGGGGTTTCTCTCGTAAATGAAGTAACAACTGATAACAATAAAAAAAAAAAAAACGTTCGACAGCGGACCTGTTGATAGCACCAAGCAAGTTTCCCCAAAGTTCCCTCCATTTGTTAAAAACCGAATGGTCGTAAGAGAACTCAATTCTATGCAAAAAGCTCCAGAGAAACGCACTGTTGTCAAATTGATAGTAAAAAGTTTGAGGCATCACTGATGGAAAGCAACCAAAAATTGTCTCCTTGACTGCCCTATCTCTCAAACTGTGGTTATTTTATGAGGAACACCAGCCATGTATTTAAATGACTATAAGAGGCAAAAGGATTTAGAGAATTAGTGGACGACTTGGTGCGTATCAGTAAAAGCTGAATTCATTCAACGTTTTTCCACAGACACAGCACTTTCAACTTTTTCCACAGACGCATCTTGCTCATGCATTTTCAGAAGTCTTGGTTACGCGACTAAAGTAATGTCAGTTATGGTAGGAAAAAAAGAAAGAAAACTACCAAAAAAAACACCATAATACACGAGAATAAGGCACCGGTCCATTAATTATCACCTGGGGGGAGCGGGGTTATTTCAGTCACAATAAAATTGACCTGAACCTGTAGTATTCTAATGATCCCCCTAATTGGCATTCAATTTTCCATAGTACCCTCTTCGCACTCTGTTTATAGCAGCGATTGCACCCCCTCCCCCTGCTAAGTTTCCCCTTAAAAACCATGTGATCCGCCCAAAATAGTCCAACCCTCTCCTTCCTCTTCAGGCCTAAACGTCCATTTTTGAAGTAACAAAATGTCGAGCCAATAAGCTCTAGATATATAAGTATTCAACAAACCTGCAGGGGAGTACGGAGTTTGTAGTCTCTAGCATCGATATCAGCTCCACAAACGAGCAGAATCTTAACGCACTGATTAGCCTCATTCTTCGCGGCATAATGCAACGGAGTCTGGTCCTCACCTGCAGTCTTTATGTGAAGATCAGCACCATTATCGATAAGAAATCTGACCATTTCAGAATAATCAGCCGAGGCTGCCACGTGTAAAGGTGTTCTACCATAGTCATCGGCTTTGTTGATGTCAGCCCCTGTGAACGGACACTAATTTGTTACTGACTGAGAAAAGAACTATAAAAAAAAACCAAGCAGTCTTTAGAGTATCAAAACAAGGAGCGTGTATCACAGCCCCAATGCGCATACATGAGCCGCTTGGAGGTGCAAGTGCGTGCCACTGACGCAGAGTAGAATGAAATTATATCAGATGAGACTCAATCAGTACGTTTGCGATGTTTCCCTTGCTGGAAAATTACAGCTTTCTTTGTTCAAGTTTACCGAGTAGTTTTATCACAAAGGTAATATAAATGTACAGTTAGCATTTAGGTTACTTTCTCATTACCTGATAAGAAAATTCCATTAAATAGTGAGAAAGAAAGAACAAAAGAAAACGCCGATGATTGAGAGAACCAGAAGTGTTTTAGACTTTAAATTGTGTTCTTCATCCGGTATTACCGATAAGTTGGATTTACAAGCGCCACTCTAATCCTTATTGATCTTCGGTATGAGTGACCTTTTGACCCTGCCAGAAGAGCATTCTAGTGTACTTGTCCATTCTAGTGATCAATATGGACAAATGTGAAGAGGTCAACACAAAATTTATACCCACACACAAACAGTATCTACCTTGCTCGATGAAAAACTGCGCCACGTCAATTCCCCAAGTCTTGGACACCTCGTGAAGTAAGGTCTGACCAAATCTGTCACACGTGTTCACGGATGCTCCTTCGCGTATCAAGGACTTAATGTACTCCAAGTCCAAGGAATCTTCTAAATTAGGAGAGCTCGATAGCTTAGCAACATATTTTAGCAAACCTTGGTTCGGGTCTTGTAAACTCGAACAGCGACTGCGAACGGAAACGCTCGACTGAGCAGTCACGGCATCATCTTCAACAACATGCAGCGTCGATCCTTCAATGGATTCAGTCTCCTGATCTTCTGTTTCCATATGTAAAATAGTGTAGGAACGCACGCTCTTCTTCCTACTTCTACGTTTTTCACGTTGAAGCATTCTCTCGTAGCTCGTCATATTTTCGTTCCTCCGTCTTGTCGTAGCGGGACTAAACGCGATTTCTGTGCAAGTGCGGACAACTGGAAGGCTTCCTGTGTCGACTTCAGATGAAGTGTCAACATGCCTCGTGATATCCGCACTACTATTCTTCAGCTCGAGAATTTCAGTATCATTTGTTTGTGGGAGTTGTGCTACAAGAGGAGCTATGGGAGGAAGTCGCCGGCTGCGCGAATTTTTCACTTCAACTTTCTCCCTGTCTTGTGTATTCCTTACTGTAGAATTCGATCGTGGAGATTCAAGAGCGAATGTATTGTCAAATGTTTTCTTTTCATTCGGCGCCTCCACTTGAGCGGGTGCTACTTTCTTTCTCTTCTTTCCTCGTTTCACATACTCTTTTGCCGTCTTATTCATATTGGTTACAATTGTATGGCTCCTTAAGCCAAAAAAGGCCCACAAAATCCAGTTATGTTTAACGATGTTTTGTGATGTTCGAACGGTCGTTAGCGGCTTAAACAATTCCCTCATCTCCCTGGGGGGAAGAAACTTTGTCGGATGCAAATGCCGATCATGCGAGCACGTTTCCATCAACAAGAGAGAAAAACAAGAGATAGCTTCACGAAAACAAGACAAAGGCATTTTTGACAAATTGAGCGTAGAGCACTGTCTTGAAAAATACCTAAGCTCCAGAGTAGGTCGTTTGTTTCAATAGCATTACGATGTTATCAAGCAAGATTTAGGTCACGATTAAAAATTCAAATTAACAATGCGAAAAAAACACAACAACAATTCAGCGGCTATAATATTACAACTGCCAAATTCTACTTTGATCAATAATCGACTTATAAATTATTTTTAATAATAGAAATATGAAGTACATTCGATTCATATCTACATCGATATAAAGTAAGAAAAATCTTGATGATGACCTTTTCAGCTCATGTCCTCCGCAAATAATCTTTTGTTTGTGTTCAGAAAGCACGGAAAACTTTACACATCATCGGTGGTGTGATTTGCGTTGGAAGAATTTGTTTTTTTTTTTACATGTATGTTTCTAAGAAAAAGGCTCTGAACAATAGAACTTGAAAATCTTTTGAAATAGCGATTTGGATTTATGCCGAGTGCAACTTTGCAATACACAAGTTGTAAAAAAACTGACATGAAAATCGCATATAATTTTTAAATCACCCAATTACAAATGACAAGAGATCATAATTTTCACTTTTATAGTCTCTTGCGCTTGAAAAATACTATAATGATTTTAGATACGCTATAGAGAACATAAAGTAAGTGAAAGCGTAGTAATGACGCTACCGTCAAATAAGGTGTACAGATTTTCGCCTTCCATCTCTTCCTGCATGCGGAGAGGTCCAATGTCAGAGTGTCATTGATCAGAATCTGTCTGTGAGGCTTTTGCTAGCTTGCATGAGATGGTTCATGGCAGCTTAAAATTCGGCTGTTACAGCCCGAATTAGAGTTTGTGTATACAATGTCGGCAGGCCGTGCGAAATTCCAGTGAAAAGTCGCAATTGTATTGTTCGTTATCGTGGTCTCCCTCTGTTCTTAGAAGACGGGCCTTTAGGAAAAAACGATTTTTTCGTTATTAATCCCAGCCATAGATATGAATTTTCATCTTTTTTTAAAACATGTTTAATGATCGCATAAACAGTTTCTTTTTCTGTCTGGTTGATGTGAATATTCTCTTTCTGAAGAGCTGTAGGGGAAATTTCCCGGATACAATGACAGAATCGAAGCAATCGCAAGAAAAACAAAAACCGCAATACTTTTTTACATAAGCATGGTACAGTAGTTAGGACTACAGTGAGTACTATACTGCTTATCAAAAACAGGACGTGATACTGCTCCTCACAAAAGAGTATTAGGACCCCCATTTTCGATTCGGAATTTAGGACGCAGAAAGATAGACCAAAGTTTGATCTCGACTGATATCAAGGCAGGTTCAATATCAGAGTAAAGTTTTACTGCATGCATCTCGGTTGGGGGAGTGTACACTTGATTTTCGCCGTTTTCTCGGGTAAATATTCGAATTTTGTATGATGTACAGACCGCTCTTTTTCTTTACTAGCGATTGATAGGGTTCTTTGTACCTTAATGGTATTTAATTTCGCGGGTACTTAATTTCGGTTTTATTTTCGCGATTTCAATAGGCAAGTATGAAACTGAAGGGACCTTAAATTTCGCCATTCAAGCTTTCTCGACTCCATTTCATTTTTCCAAATGTTTTAACAATTGGCGACTGCGCGAAAGTTGCATGTTTTAAGGAATTTGTACAAATCTAGCGATTCAGTTGAAGATGATAACTAGATTCTCTACTCCATCTGCAAAATCTTTGCAAATTAGCGTCATTTTACAACAGAACATGCAAAACAGAACTTACCAGTAAGACCGGTTTGTACTTTGTGAATTTGTCGATAAACAACCTGTAAACGTTGTTGTCATGACAAGTTGATCATGTTTTTGTGTGCTTTAAATTTTCTATAGCGGACCAAATTTCTCGGCAAGGGTTTTTATTCACATGTCTTCAATTTCGCAATGTTTTTACTATCGAAAAAACACGAAATTAAAGACCAATTAGATAGAAGAAGAGTGAAATTAAATTTTGTACGGGTAAACTAAGAAATTACGCTGAGTTAGATATTGCCATTCCAAACCAGGTTTTTTGAAGTACTTAATTAATTCCATAAAAGGCGCAGCTTAGAGTTCATTTCCGTTCATAATTAAGCTTACAACCTTTCATGCATATTTCCGAAAATGAAAAACCCGCTTCCGAAATACGGTAGAACGTTACAATGATTCATTACTGTTGACTTATTTGGTCTGATCTTCTAACATTCAGTTTTAGGGAAAAAAAAACTATACCCTACATATCTTTTTGATCTACGCACAATTGTTGATATCTTCGCCAGAAGCGGATGTTATTTGTGCTTCCTTTTAATTAAACTGCTAAGCACATTGGTTTCATGGCACATTCGCGAATACAACGAAAACTGATGAAAGATCATAACAAGGTTTGTCAAAATTAAATGGACATCGGGCTGAGTGATTGTTTTTTCATCTAATATTGTCGCCTACGTTTATTTCCCAATGACTTTTTTTGAAAGGTTATCACATGTAAAAGCTAAAATGCAAATTATACTGTTAGTATACACAATGGTTCATGTGTAATATCTTGGATGCAATTTGTAGTCATTGTCAAGTTGTGAGTTTAGGAACATATTGAGTGCGTAAGAAAGGAAGAACACTAAAACTCTAAAAGACTTTCGGAATTACTTAAAGGATTTTTCTATGAATTGGTATAATTAAGTTTAATAAAGGTGTGATATCACTGACACCAACGGTTATGCGGAAAGTAAACATGACGCCTGTTGCGGCATCGGATAACACGTACTCAGCCATACGGCAGGAGTAATTATGTTATTACTAACGTCATAGCCTGTGATGTGCGATATTTTCTACGACTCATTTAACCCATAGCGGTGCTAATTTAACCCATAACGAATATCACTTTGCCAAGAGCTGGGTCAGAATGAAACTGAAAGGTCGTCATGAAGACTTTTGGATCCAAGTGATATTCAAAGTGTTCTGGTAGACGTCGAGAAATATCAAACCACCAGGAACTGTTATTTCTTTAATCATTTCTTTGGTCGTTGCGTGTTGAGGAAAATGCCAGGGAATTTCTCTGCTCATACAAGCCTCTACAGTTCAACATCATCTTTCAATGTGACGTTGGTTATACTTTATGCGACGATAGTGCTTGTAGGCTTGGCAGGGAACAGTTTTGTCGTCACCATTGTGTTCAAAACAAGATCTATGTTCACTTCGACAAATATTTTGCTGGCAAATGTTGCTGTTGCCGATATCGTGTCTCTGTTATGGTGTCCGATTCCTTTGATAGCGGGCCTTTGCAATGTGCGAATATCTTCAGAAAAAGCACACTATCTGTGTAAATTTTTTACAAGCTACTCAGTTACCTGTTTGACTGTTTCAGTGACATATCAGAGTTTAGTGGTGTTGGCTGTGGAGAGGTACCATGCGATTGTTAAACCATTCAACAGTGCACTGATGCTGACTAATGATCGTATGTTCTATGCTATTTTAGCTATCTGGATCATGGCGATCCTTTGCTCCCTGCCTGGATTTATTTTCAGCGAATACGATGAAAAGCTTGGAAGGTGCCTGGATCCTTGGACTCTTGAGAAAGCTGGTACGTTCAGGTGGATTGCTATCTTATATCTCTCTGCATCTGTTTTGTTCTCTGGCGCTTTGTTTTACTGCTACGTTCAAATTCTAAGGGGAATCTTCGTGAATAAAACTGTTTGTTCATCAGAGGTTGCCTCAATGAGGCAATCTAACTTGAAAGAGAAGCGAAGGCTTGCTCTAATTTCCTTGACTGTAACTGTGGCATATCACTTTTGTTATCTGCCTTTCTTGATGTTTGAGCTGTACATAGCCTTTCAAAGTCAGCAGAGAATATTGGAGAACTACGAAGAACTCTATAAAGTGTATCGAGTTGTTGGGTTTATCATGTATGTGAACTCAATGCTAAATCCATTTATTTATGGCTTTCAGAGTTCGAATTACAGAAATAATTTCAAAAGACTTTTTTTCAGAGGATCTAAAACGATAGATATCAGTTTGACTTCGCCGAATTCCAGGAAAAACCCACCTTCGACGGTGTTTTCAGCAGAAACGTGATTCATTCTTCGATTCTTCGATTTCATCTTTCCTGAACGCATACGGCAGAAGGCTTTTGCAGCACCCTTGTTATCTTGTCGCAATACTCTTGCAATCATGTCATATGTGGCCTCGAAACTGATCTGAGCGATTCAACGGAAAATAAAAGCGCGAACGAGCTGCCTGTTAGATCTATAAAAGATATATTCGCTTAGCAGAACTTCGGCTTCATTGGTGATGCTACCGGCTGGTGAGTTAAAAAGGAATTATCATAATAGAAAGCAGCAACAGCAGCTAGGTGGTTGAACATTTTCTCAGTATTAAACTAAACCAAATAATTCCAATATTACGCAGAAAGGGAGCCTTTGGGTTCATGACGGTTTCGCAAATTCAAAAATAGTTTCCTTTGAATAAGTTGAATTCGTGAGAAGATCGTGCACTGTATATAGGCTCCATTTGAAAACATAGTAAATAAAAGTGAGAGCCAGTTATGTCAAAAGCTTTTTCTGTTTTCAATGTGTGTTTACTTATTGAAGGACCACAGGAGAAATCTAATGTTTACGAAGGCATATATTGTTGTCGATTAATGCCTCTGAGCCGTGTTTTATTCTCCATCTGGCCAATAAGGGCCTTGGTAATTTTGGCGCAGATATTCTTTGCGTACAACACATTAACTGCCTCAAAACATGCTTATGAACAAAGAATATATACTTTTTCTCGACGCATTTACGATTCCGGTTTTATTTGCCGTGAGCCCCTTGATCAACCTGTCTTAGCTCACTAAAGTTTTATCCTTGAAAAGGGAAAAAAGCACATAATAACAAATAACGCTGTGAAGCAATTGCTAAACGTAATTGAAAACGTAGTAGTGTAATAACACCACTATTTTTGGCCCTAATAAACAACTGCAGTAGTATGATATTACTCAGGGGTTAGTATTCGCCAACTGAAATAAAAATATGCTAATTTTGGCCATTTGTATTCAACGGTATCCGAACGTGCAAATAAGGCACAGATTACATCCTGTTAATATTTATCATCATTAGCATCATATAATTAAACGACATCCCACTTTCTGATAGGAAACAGTAAGTTATTATATTTTTACCTCTCCCCCTCTCAATAATTTATAGGAAAACAAAAGTACTAATAGTGAATTCAATATCTGGGCAACTATGTGGGCAGCGCACGTGCATTGAACTTTATACATGCTTTAATTTTGCACTTTCTCCAGTTAATTTTATTCATTTGCTCTATCATCAACCATGTTCCCCCGTTTCAAGTTTCCTTTGAATTCACTTGTGTCTAAAAAAAGAAGAGGAATAAGGAGTCGGTAGAAAGCTTGGAAACACCCATACAGGGTTCCCCCCTCC